ACTATCATATGTTGTGTTCAACCACTAGAAAAAGACTTCACATAATATGTTACATATTTATATCCTTTTTTTGTGTGGACAGAATCCCATGCGGTGACCCGAACCCAAACTGGAGTACTGGACAAGTTTCGACCAATTTTAATCAGCACAATTTTTATCAACCCAGACACGAAATCAACCAATTTGACTCCTTAATGATGAGTTATTGAGTACCAAGTTAAATTACAGCTTGTTAGGCAGTAAGCTTCAGGAGGAAGAAAGAGGAACATGAGACTTCAGGGACTGGCTTATGTCAATGGAGAAACAGAGCAAGCTTCGGGAGGAACATACAGGAAGAAACAGAGAAGCCTCAAGAGGAGAAAGAAGAAGAAAACCAAAACTAAACCTGCCAAGTTATATAGATATAGAGAATGTAATAATACATACATATATGCTTGTTAGTGATAGAATCTTATCCAAACCGACTGCTCTGTTAGTAGACTAAAATCACGAGACGAGAGGTTATGGTTCTAGTGGCGAAATATTTGTAGTCAAAGAATTGGATCTTTGTGAAGCTTTTTACTTTTGCATTTTTAGTATTTTGGATTTCTGCATATGAAAGTCAAACAGAAATAATTTTATAATCAAACAAGGATCTTGGTATATCAGTGTACAAGAAAACCCAATTCGGGATTATAAATTTTGGAAATCCTTATGATTAGAACCCTAACTATTATTCAATCAAGCTTATCCACACCATTCTATTGCTACAGCCACTACTCAAGCTATGAACTCTAATCATACTATAAGAAATGGCATTTATCTTTGATGCAAACTAGTGAATAAGACCAACCAACAAAATCCAGTGAAATGTGTCAACCTCAATAAAACATACCAAATCCAAGTTCCCGAAACAAAAGACAAATTAAAACACAACCTAACAATCACTCTTCGTCAGGCTTCTTAAATACATAAGTGGTTCCGCATTTTCCACAGTAATGCCTATCGAAATGACTCGCCATGAAAGTTCCAGGACCACAACTAACCGAAGGACACTCTTTCCTCAACCTCTGTACCTTTCCAGTTCCATCAACCTTGTAAAACTGCAGAACCGCAAGCTTCACTTTCCTGTGCTTGTGTTTGA